GCTGCCCTCCCTGTGAGAACCGGGCTCTCAGATATCAGCAGTCATTTCCAGCGATTCCTGCAGCCTTGTAGGACTCAAGTCCCTCGGCAGGAAGATCTGATTTGGCTGAGTATAGGTTGTGTGTCCTTGCTCTGATCGTGGCATGTGGGGAAGGAATGTCTGGCACCCTGACTTCCTGCACAGCACTAGGGAGAGGCTTGCCGCTCACCAAAGCACACAGCGCGTGGATCTGTCCAAGTAGGAAGGGAAACAGACAAATTCTGCCACACCTGCCGCAGGTCTTGTTCCCGGCAGCGTCTGCACTGCCTCTGAAATCGTTAATTTGAACATTCTGCCTTTTGGATAAGAGCAATCTTGATAGTGTCCTGCTAAGGACAGGCATCCCTGGCAATAGCTTTTCAACTTCAAGAAGACCACTCGTCCATGAACAATACTAACTTCTCCTTAGCCATCAGCCCTGTTTTTACTTAGCTATCCAGCTTTGGGCTCGTGGCTTATTTAGCCTTTCCATTACTAACTTAACTGGCATTCCACTGCGTGTATCTGGTAAAACTCTGGCTTTGAAGAGAATATGAGCATCCAGGCCAGAATAAGCCACCCCTGGAACCCATTGCTCCCTCCCCCTCAATATTTAATCCATCATCAAGTACTGTTTATCCTAATGTCAAAATAAATCTGCAGCCTACCACTTCTTGCTGTGTCTACAGCCACTCCCCTAGTCTAAGCCACAATCATCACTTGCCTGAAGTGTTGCCATAGCTTCCTAATAGGTCTCTGTTTTCAGTTGTTCTTTTCCTACAGGCCTTTGCCCTTAGCGCAGTTAGATGCCCTTAAAAATTCACTTCTCTGTCTCATTTCCATTCAGATAGAAACACAGAATCCTCAACAGGATTTGCAAGGGAGTGCATAACCCAGCCACGTCCTACCTTTCTGCCTTATGCCATGCCCTCCTCCCTTCACACCACTGGGGATCTTTGCTTTGCTTTCAGTTCCTAGATGATGTCAGTTGCCTTCTGCCATGTTTCTTGTTCCTGGAATGTTCTCTCCCCAACCCGCTGTCTGGCTAACTTCTACTCAGCCTTTCATCTGAGCAGAAGTGTCGTGCAGAGAGCTTTTCCATGACTCCCCCAGGTACAGTGATTTTCTCTGTAACTCTCTCACAGCACCTAGTTCTTTCCTTCATTGTTTTTCATTACTGCAATGACATACCTGAGGTAGGAGTCTAACTTTATAAAGGAGAGAGGTTTATTTCCTTCATGGTTCTGGAGGTTCAAGGGGATGGTGCTAGCATTGGCTCAATCCTGATGAGGACTTCATGGCGGATGGTGTCACAGCAGTGGGAGCATGTGTGGAGGGAAGATATCACGTTGCAAAACAGGAAGCCAAAGATACTGGAGTCCCATGTAATCCTTTCAGGGCCATGGCCCAATCCACCTAAGGACTGACTCCCAGTGCCGCTACCCTGGGGATCAAGCTCCCAACACATGAACTCTTGAGGAACAAACCGCATCCAGGCCATAGCAGTAGTCCTTGTCATGCTTTGGCTCATGTGGTTAGTTGTTTAATGCTTGCTACCTCAAAGAAATGGAAACTCCACAAAGGGCAGAAGTATTTCTGTCTTGTATACTGTTGTAGTCCCAGCAGAGTGCTCAAATACAGAAATATCTGTGAATGACTGAGTGGAAGGGATAGGCCTGCAACAGGCTGTGGGAAGGAAAGCTTATCTTTCTACAGCTTCCTACAGCCTCGATTCATTTCTTTAGCTTCTAAATTTAGCAGGTTTATGAGAGGATGTGTGTCATTATATGTTCCCCTGCTAGGGTGGAGTTTAGGGTTCAGATGCTAAGATGTGTATGAAGGGAAGGACCAAAATCCAATGTCAGTAGAAAGAAATACCAAATAGAGAAGACTCCCCTAAGTAGCTGCAGTTCTCCACTGTAGGCAGTGATCTCGGCATGCAAGTATTGAGCCTTGAATTATTTACATACTTACAATCCTCTCACCTTCGAATCAAGATCATTCCAATAGTTTTGCATTTAGACTTTCAACTGCATTATACATTCACAAATCATTTGTCAGTTCTTTTATTTTTTAAAGATTTATTTATATGAAAGGTAGAGTTATAGAGAGAGGGGGAGAGAGACGGAGAAAGGTCTTCCATCTGCTGGTTCACTCCCCAAATGGCTGCAACAGCCGGGGCAGGGCCAAGCCAAAGCCAGGAGCCAGGAGCTTCTTCTGGGTCTCCCATGTTGTGCAGGGGCCCAAGCACATCGGCCATCCTCTGCTGCTTTCCCAGGCACATTAGCAGGGAGCTGGATTGGAATTTGAGCAGCCAGGACTCACATATAAAACCACATAAAGACTAATTTTTAGTGACAAAGTTTCTAAACCTCCCCATCAAAATTTTAACTACTTAAGACAATCAACCACATTTGCATTTTGTAATTAAATGAACATCAACTATGTCTTTCTTGATTCTAATCAGTATATATACAACTTAGGGTAAACATATTGATTATGGAGGTATTTATGAAGGGGAGGAAGTGAGGAGGTTGGGTGAGGTTAGGTGGTAGCCAGGCTGCAGAGGATTAGTTACCTGGGCCTGTATAGAGCATTGTTGCTTGGCTAGGACCCTGGAAACCTCCCAAGTTGACCTCAATATCTGTTCTTATATCCACCCCTTTCACTCTCAACCAAGCTACTTAAGAAGAGACCGATGCCACTCTGGGTTCTGGGGTGGGCCTTGTTTTCCAGGCATAGCACCATAATCCTGTCCAGTGAAGGGCTCTGGACCCCTGGTCCAGGTGCTATGTGTTTGGTTCAGAACTGGGCCAGTGGGACACTGGACACTGAGAAGTTTGTTCAGGTCTCCTGGGAAGAAATTGTCTCATAACAGAGAGCTGGAATTCATGGGCCCTCTCAGCTGGATACTGCTATTTGTGAAGATAAAGCTGTTGTATGTTCAGTTTTCGTAAATGTTTCACGCATTCTTTAAAGGAGTGTATATTCTGCAGCTGTTGGAGCAATACCCCATACACATAAGATGAATCGTGTTACTCAACTCTTGTAGTCACTTAAAGTCTTCTTCCATCCCTTGATCTGTGTGCTTCCCACGGCTGCTGTAACACACGGCCACAGAGGGTAGCTCAGTGCCACGGAAACGTGTTCTCTCACAGCTCTGCAAGCCGCCAAGCTGGAAGTCCAAGTGTCGGCAGTGTCACACACCCTCTGGAGGCTCCAGGAGAAAGTACATTTGTGTCTCTAGCCTTGGGTGGCTGTCCCCCCACTGCGTGTGTCCCCCCACTCCTGCTTCTGCGGTCACATTCTCAACTCCTCTTGGTGTCTTCCCACGCATCTCCCTCTGTCTTCCAGGGATATTTGTCATTGGAGGTATGGGCCACCCAGACAATCCAGATGAGCTCAACTCAAGATATTTAACTATATCTGCGAACAGTTCTCCCTCAACCCCCCAGATAAATCACATTCACAAGGTCAGGGATTGGGACATGGTTGCATCTTTCCAGGGACCACCTTCAACCCACTGCAGTTTGTCAGGGCTCTATGTGAAAAGTCACCCCCAGTGGCTCCTTTTGTACTTCTGTCATTTTTTTGCTTCATATATTAAACAGCCATGTTATGAGAGACACATGTGTGACTCCTGTAACCTTCCCTGTGTACTGGACCTTTGGCTATGTAGACACTCCCTCCCCCTTTTTATCTCCAGTCATTCCCCACCCTTTCCTGTCCACTTAAGAGTCTGCTGACAATCAGTTGGTTGAAAAAAAAATATAATTTGTCTGCCTTCTTCCATCTCTATTTTGCTAGGTGTGGACTTTTTTTATTTATTTGTTTGTTTGAGAGTTATATATATAGAGACAAAGGTCTTCCTTCGGTTGGTTCACCCCCTAAATGGCTGCCATGGCCGGCGCTGTGCTGATCTGAAGCCAGGAGCCAGGTGCTTTTCCTGGTCTCCCATGGGGTGCAGGGCCCAAGCACCTGGGCCATCCTCCACTGTACTCCCGGGCCACAGCAGAGAGCTGAACTGGAAGAGGAGCAACTGGGACGAGAACCTGGCACCCATATGGGATGCGGCACCACAGGCAGAGGATTAACCAAGTGAGCCACGGCGCCGGGCCGTAGGGGTGGAATTCTAAGGTTTTAATGCTTTTCCCCCTCAGCATTTCATTAATTCTCTTTTACTTAAAGCTGTTTTCACAGCCTCAAATGTCACAAGGCAAGGGAATTGAAAACATGTGCTGACTCAAAAAACTGTCATTGGTTAAATCGAGGCAGCGTGGCCTGAATTAAACTCCCCTGAGTGACTTCCGGAAACCTTCCCCTGAGTACGGTGGGGACGAGGGACGGTGTCGGAGCGCGGAGCCCGCCGTGGACACTGAAGCCCATCAGACTCCCGGATGCAGGGACCCTTCCCCGCGGAGCTTCTAACAGCTGCTCACCGGCAGCTAGGAGTTCCACCCACCTCTCCTACCCTGCTCTGTTAGCTTGCAAATCCAAGTTTACCCGAGGAGTGGACACACTTGCACGAGGCAGAGTCTCCTTCCTCGGCCCTCGGCTCTCCCACACCACCCGCGGCGTCTGGGGACGTCTCATGCTAAGGGTTGGAGTCCGGGTCTCTGTGCACAGGGGTTAAAGAACCAGAACAAACATCCGCGAGCGCCGCATTTTTCTCCGGCCGCCCTGCCGTGATTCGGGTTTTACTCTCGGTTTCGCGGCTCCGGCTCGTGCGGGCTGAGGATCGGGGCCCCACCGTTCATTCTCTGCCACTCGCGGCCCCGTATCTCCGTCTCCACGCAGAGGCCCGGCTGCAAGGCCCCGAGAATAGGAGACAAATACCAGAGACAGGCCGACCAGCCCTGCTTGGCCTCATCTCCCACAGCCCGCCCGGCTGCTCGTCGTCCTGGTAACCAGAACGCGCGTGCGCAGCCGCACTGTCTCGTCACGTGAGGACGGGCCAGGGGCGGGGCATTGAGTTCGGGTCGGAACCCGTGGCGCCACTCGTCTCAGCGGCCGGCCCGCCGAGGCGGGGCCTAGCTCGGGCCTATAGCGTGGAGCTGACTCGCAGCTCCCGCCCCCTTTCGCTCGGCAGTCTCTCCGCTACTCTCCCGCCCCACGTGCCCCGCTGGCCGCTCCCCCAGCGCCCTTTCCAACTGCCTGCTGGAAGCTGCTGTAAAATGTCGTGAGGGCGCCTTCGCTTTACGGTCGCCTCTCCCAGAACGAGCGCCCCGGAGCGCCCACCGCCGTCAGCCTGAGCGAGTCGGCCCGGCGCAGAGCGAGAGGCCCCGCGCTCCGCTGCCCTCCTCGTCGCGCCCTTTCCGGCCCCGGCGATGTGAGGTCGGGGGGGTGGGCTGCGGTGCCCTCTGGCCCAGGGCTGAGACGGGCTGCAGGTGCCTGTGAGGCGGGCGGGTGCCGGGGCCGGCAGGATGGAGGAGAGCATGGAAGAGGAGGAGGGAGGCAGCTACGAGGCGATGATGGACGACCAGAACCACAACAACTGGGAGGCCGCCGTGGACGGCTTCCGGCAGCCCCCGCCGCCCGCGTCGTCGATGCCGGCCCCCGTGCGGGAGCCCCCGGGCGGACACCTGCTGGCGGCGCCCGCCGTCTCCGTGGACAGGAAAGGCTCCAAGGAGGGGCTCCCGCTGGGCCCGCCGCCGCCGCCGGAGCCCAATGGGGTGATCATGATGTTGAAGAGCTGCGACGCGGCCGGCGCCGTGGCCAAGGCGGCCCCCGCCCCCACGCCCAGCTCCACCATCAACATCAACACCTCCACCTCCAAGTTCTGTGAGTCCCGCCGCCCCGCGCCCACCCCGCGTCGGAGCGGCCCCGCTCTCTTTGTTGCAGGCCCGGGGCTGCCCCTCTGCGCCCTGCCCCCTCGGGTGCTGGCTGCAGCCAGCTCCTGGGCGGCCCTGGCTTCTTGAATTACCTGGCCGGCAGAAGCTGCCTGCTAGGCACGCAGCCCCGACTTCTGCAGACGCGAGCCGTGTCGCAGCCGCTGTCTCTCAACCGCCCCCCCCCCCCACTCCCCTTTAAAAGTTTGACCCCCAGAGGTGAGGGGGCAACGAGGGCTGCGCGGCGCCGTTCGGGACAGGCTCGTGTTTGCAGCCCGAGAGAAGAAATGTGGCAAGTTGTGTTCCCGGGCTTTCAGCCGGCGTGCGTTAGACAAGTCGGGAAATTTCAGAGTTAGCCTGGGCGTGCGTCTCGGGCTTCTCCCTCTGCGTGCACCTCCGTCGTCGCCCAGGGAAGTGGCTGAGTTACTTCCCGTTGCAGCGGGAGCTGCGACGTCCGTTCTGAGCCGAATGCCGTGCAGGGGCACCTCTCGGAGCCTGCACGTCACAGTAAGCCACGGAGCGCGTGTCCAGCTCCGTGAGCGATGGGCTGCAGGCAGGGAGATTTAAGGGCCACGTCTGTGTCGTGATTGGAAGTTGTCCCCGGCTAGGCTGTATGCGTCTGTAGCCAGGGAGCCAAGGTATTCTTGTTCAGAGGGGTTGCTGGTGGGGCTGGGGTGGTAAAATAAGTGTGCCCGCCATAGCCAGGTTTCCTCTGTCGTGAACCGCAGGTTTTCAGTGGCACCTGTAAACTTCATTTCTTGACTTGTATCAAGCTGTACCGGTGCTTGTCCAAGTAGCTGTGCAGACACCTGTAGTTACAACCTTACACAGGTTTGTGTGTGTACAGCACTTACCCATTTCCACTTGCTTTAAAAATACTGCTTTAGTCAAAGACATGGGTAGGTATGGGTTGGTAAGATTTGCATATGGTTTTTCTCGATTTGGCATCCATGAGAATCACATTTGTGTCGCACAGTCTGTGAGTGGAAGGCTATATTCTGAAGCCAGACCTTGTGCGAAGTTAAGGGTGACTCACCTCAGTGCGAAGGAAATGGGCTTTAATGCTTAAAATGTATTCAAAGAGTTCAACAGCATAAACAAAACCCAGTGAAGCTGAGCACAAAAGGTTTTGTCAAACAAAAAACTGTCCTTTGAGGAGATTAATTTAGACAAACCTCTGCTAAGCGTGATCAAGAAAAAAATGCAAATAAGAAATGGACTATAACTACAAATATCAAATTAAAAAGTCTTTTATAAATTATAGTAGGCTAATAACTTCTGACACCTAACGAAACGTGTAATTCTTAGAAAACTATTAACTGTGAAAATTGGTATCAGATGAAATAAATAGCTTGTAAACTGAAATGGTAAAGACCTCCCCTTTCAAAAATGCTGAATCTAGGCACTCTTACAAGTGAGTTCTGTCAAAGTTAAATACCACATAATTCTTTTAACAAGTTCTGAAGGATGAGAGAGGATGTCAGGCTCATTTTATGAGGTTAATGAAGTCTTGATTCTAAGACTAGATAAGGACAATAGAAGAAAAAATTATAGGTCTGTTTCAGCTTATTAACATAGAACTGAAAGTCCTACACAGAGTGCTAGCTCATCAGAGCCAACAATGTGTTAAAAGAATTGTGATCCATGGAGTTTGTCCTAGGAATCTAAGCATGGTTCAGCATCTTTCTGTTTATGTAATTCAGCTCATTAATAGACTAAAGGAAAAGAATAATTATCTCAGCTGATGCTATAAAATCATTTTAACACCTATTTATGGTAAAAACTCTTAGTAAGCTCAGAATACAAGATATCTAGCTAAAAGTCATTACCAAAACCTACCACAAATAGTAATACTTACTGAAGAAATTTGATAGACTTGCTTTAAGGTTGATAACAAGATAAGAGTTCCCCCTGTCACTACTGCTGTTAAAAATGGTAAGGGGGTGGGTTGGGGAGATAGGACAGATGCAGTAAACCTCCTATGTGTGGATGTGATCACTTACCTGGAAAAACCATCAATCCAGAGAACTAGTAAGAGTTCAGCCCGAGGGGCTGGTGCTGTGGTGTAGTAGGTTAAGCATCCTCCTGTGCCGGTTCAAGTCCCAGCTGCTCCACTTCCAATCCAGCTCCCTGCTGATGGCCTGGGAAAGCAGTAGATGGCCTGAGTGCTTGGGCCCCTTGCGCTGGGATGGAGACCTGGAGGAAGCTCCTGGCTTCGGATCGGCCCAGCTCCAGCTGTTGTGGCTATTTGGGGAGTAAACCAGTGAATAGAAGAATTCTCTGTGTGTCCTTCTCTCTGTATGTAACTCTTCCCTCTCAAGTAAATAAATAAATCTTTTATAAAAACCAAAAAAACAAAAAGTTCAGCCAGATTACTGGGTTTAAGGTCCATCTACAAAAATTAACAGCATTTACCAAACTAGTGGTAAACAACTAACAAAGATAATCAAAAGTAAGTATAATAATAGCAACAAACTGTAAGCTCTAAGAAATAACCTAAGAATACATAAGATCTTTAACGAGAAACTTTTTTTTGAAGATTTATTTATTTGAGAGTCAGGTTAGAGAGTCTTCCATCTGCTGGTTTGCTCCCCTATTGGCCACAATGGCCAAGCCTGGGCCAGGTGGAAGCCAGGAGCTTCATCCAGGTATGCCATGTGGTCGCAGGGGCCCAGGTACTTCTGCTGCTTTCTCAGTTGTGTTAGCAGGGAAAGAATGTCAGTCTTTTCCATTGTGATGTATACTTTCAATTTTAATGTCATCAAAAGTACATTTGGTTTATTTTTACAGACTTGGCCGGCGCCGCGGCTCAATAGGCTAATCCTCCACCTGCGGCGCCAGCACACCGGGTTCTAGTCCCGGTCGGGACGCCGGATTCTGTCCCGGTTGCTCCTCTTCCAGGCCAGCTCTCTGCTGTGGCCCGGGAGTGCAGTGGAGGATGGCCCAAGTGCTTGGGCCCTGCACCTGCTTGGGAGACCAGGAGAAGCACCTGGCTCCTGGCTTTGGATCAGTGCGGTGCGCCGGCCGCAGTGTGCTGGCTGCAGTGGCCATTGGAGGGTGAACCAATGGCAAAGGAAGACCTTTCTCTCTGTCTCTCTCACTGTCCACTCTGCCTGTCAAAAAAAAAAGTACATTTGGTTTACTTTTACAAACTTAATAACTTACATCTAAAACTTACGGCAGGTGGAATAAAGTTTGTAAATAACCAAATCAATGTAAAAGATTTCTTTTGGTAGGGGCTTGCCTTAATCAGAAGGTAAGGTAATGTTTCGCGGCTATTGTAATAAAAACTGGTATAAATTCAGTAATAGAAAAATAGGTCATGGGAACAAATGAGAAGGTAGAGGCTGTGTGTCTGGAAACTTAAGTCAGATGTGGCATAGATCATTGGAGAAAGGAGTCATGTTAGGGGAACGGCTCATTCCATGGAGGAAAGAAAGGCCACCATAAACAGGATGGAGTCTGGATTCAAGACCTGAATGTGAACAGAATAACCGTAAAGTTGATAGAAAATGTCATAGGAGCTCTTTTCTTAGTATAAGGAAGGACTTATCAAAGGTTCAAAAGCTTACAAAGGTAAAACTTTAATGACTTAGATATAGATTTTCATTCAGCTAAAAACAGATGAAAGGATGAGAGAGGACACTTACTACTTCTGCAGTTGACAAGCGATTAATGTCTGCTTAGATAAAGCAGCTGCTCATCAACAGTACGAGCAGCAACTGCTGCGGAAAATGGTGGTGGGGGCCGGCGCTGTGGTGTAGCGAGTAAAGCCGCCGCCTGCAATCCCGGCATCCCATATGGGCACCGGTTCGAGACCTGGCTGCTCCACTTGCAATCCATCTCTCTGCTATGGCCTGGGAAAGCAGTACAAGATGGCCCAAATCCTTGGGCGCCTGCACCTGCATGGGAGACCCGGAAGAAGCTCCTGGTTTTGGATGGGCGCAGTTCCGGCCGTTGTGGCCATCTGGGGAGTGAACCAGCAGATGGAAGACCTCTCTCTCTCTCTCTCTGCCTCTCTCTGCCTCTCTCTGCCTCTCCTCTGTGTAACTGTGACTTTCAAGTAAAATAAACAAATCTTTAAAAAAAAAAATGGGTACTTTATAGAATAGGCAATCCTAACAGGCATAAGAAGTGATGAAATTATTATTATTGATCAGACTTGCAAATTAAAAGGAATGGAGTGCCTTTTGCCATTGGTTAAATTGACAAAAATTAGAAAGCTGGAAGTGCCATGTGCAGGTGGGCACATGGGAACATGGGAAACAGCGCCTGCTGTCGGGCATAACAAGTGGACTCTGAGATGTTGAGAGACCCAGAGTCTGAGAGTATCACAAACGGTGACTGCACCTTCATAGCCCTGATGGTGAAGATTTGCCCTAGACCAGGGTAAAAGTAGCTTTTGCTGGCCTTTGTTTTTGGAATAGAGAATAATTTGTTACCTTGATGGATACTTAGCAGGGACAGGGTTGATTTGTTCTGGAGAATAGACCATATCTAAAGCAATAGCAATTACAACAGGAGTCAACACTGTGGTTTTCTTTCTTTCTTTTTTGCTTTATATACGTATGCTATTTGAAAGGCAGAGAGATGATAGAGATCTTTCATCCACCAGTTCACTCCCTAGATGCCAGCAACAGCCAGGGCTGGGCCAGGCCACAGCCAGGTGCCCAGAGCTCAGACTTCATCTCCCACATGGGTGGCAGGAGCCTAAGACCTGCACCATCATCTGTTGCCTCCCAGGGTGTGCACTAGCAGGCAGGTGGAGCCAGGACTAGGAGCTAGGCACTCTGATATGGGATAGAGGCATGCCAAGTTGAGCCTTAACCACTGGGCCAAATGCCTGCTCCACCACATAGTTTTTTAAAGATTTATTTATTTATTTGAAAAGCAGAGTTGAAGAGGTGGAGAGAGGTCTTACATCCACAGGTTCACTCCCAAACGGCTGCAGTG